AAGAGTCCTTCATAAGTTGTTCTAGCTGTGTTAGAAGAGGAAGATGAAGCTCTGAGGGATTGTTTTTTATGCTACACCAGTGGTTCTCAACCTTTTTAATCTCAAGACACACCTTGTTAGACTCAAGGCACCCCTTAGAAAATGCCGGCTCTCAGTTTTCACTTGGTTTTTGACTACAGAAATTAATAGAGTAATTATTTTGCTGCAAAGAACTCAAAAAGACTACAACAGGTCAGAATGTTTTTGACACTTTGAATTCCCATTTGAAATCTGTGGGTTTATCTTTGAGTCATGTTTGGATGCCTAACAGTGCTTATGTTGTGTGGAACCCTGTGGCACCCTTGAGAGGATCTCAAGGCACCTCAGAGTGCCATGGCACCCTAGTTGAAAATCACTGTACTAAATGGAAATCTAGGTGCTTTTAGCACTTGCACCCACATGTCTATTTGATAACACTGGGAGATGTCCAACTTGTGGTGTTTCAGATATTGATGGCAGGTGTTGGTGTAAATAGAGCGCACTCTTCCATTAATAGGTTGAATAACAGGTACAAAACCATGACATATTATACCCAAGTGAACTTGTTTCTTGTGAGGGTATTTTTCCTCATGCGTGTTGTGTTGAGTAACTGAATTCCAATAATGTATCTATGATTCGATAGATGTGTTGAAAAACACATTTGAAAGTCGCAAGTGGGGTATAATGCAACTGATCCACCTAGTATATTATATAACAGCACATTTCAATAAACTGCTAGGCCTATTATTTGTATCACTTGAAATAATTTGTGGTTGAGTATAAAGATGGCAAGGAGAGAAAAGGATATTCTTCCAACATATACCTAGCTGGCAACTTGGTCTGTGTATAAAAAAGTTGGTGGCAAGCAGGATGCAATAAGGCACATTAGTGTCCTGAAATAATTCCCTTTTTCAGTTTAATTTGTTATCTTTATCATGTAGCTCTTGTGTGAACCATGTAAGTATTTTTATACCAGAGACACACTTGCAGGCTCAGGACATATTTTTTGTGGTAGATCTTAGAACCTAATGTGCCATTCCATCCAGGTTACATTCATACCCATGTTCCTTCTATGCAATACCTACTTCAGCCTTTGTATAAATTATTTTGTATTAGTATTACGTATAAAAATAAAGGACATAAGAAAAGGATGCGTGCGTGATCTTTATTTCCACCCTCACTAAAATGAA